CTTTCTTTGGGAAAAAAATTTTTTTTTTAAAAAAAACCCAAAAAAAATGGGTTTCCTTTGGTGGTTTTACTTGGGGGGGGGGGAGAGAAAACAATTCATGAGACATGACTGCAACTTAAAGAACATTTTATTTTGCCACAGTTTGATCCATTAACTTCACTGAAGCTGTTCTTGATTTGTGGATCTGACATGGCAGAAGCACCAAGTTTTAGACCTGGAAACCAGAGTCCAAACAACCAAACAATTTCCTAGAAGGAAATCATGTCTAATTTGCAAGACACACATCATTACAGGACACTGTGTTTATATGTAAAAAAAGAAAAAAAGAAAAAAAAAATCCATGTTGATCTCCATGTTGTCTAACACTGTTGTCTACTAGCATTTTTTAAGCTTTTAGGGTGTCCATGATTTGAAGCTAGGACATGAAGCTTAGCAGACAGTAGCGTTAGGGTCAGAGAGGTACCGTTTACTGTTTCTTGAAAATCCATTCATACTGAAAACTGCTATCTCCCATCCATGGTTCAGTAATAAAGTCCTTCTACATTCCATCAGTGAATCTATTACAATGGCATCTTGCTTCCGCATACCACACGCAGCTGAACTTCTGACAAAATGGATTATCTTAGTCTTCCTGTTTCAAAATGTCGCTTGGCCTAAGGAAAAGTTCACTGGGCTGGAAGCCAGGGGCTCTCAACTCCTATGCACTTATTGTTGATGGGCATACAGAAATTCTGTAGCCTTGGCAATGCTGATATTTTTGTACCCAAAGACAGGTTTCATAGGCTAAAAGGCCAGAAGAGACTGTTTTGCTAATCTAAACAAGTTGCAGAAATTCCCAGACTATATTTTTTTTGTATTTCTTTAGTGGGGGGGGAAATGCCCAATCTTGGTTTTAAAAATAATTAGTAATGGAGAATCTACCAACCCTTTGTAAGTCATTCTAATAATTGATTACCTTTGCTGTTAAACATGTACATTTTATGTCCGTTAGTAGTTCATGCCATATCAAAATAATCACATTAGCTTTTTACTGAAATTGGACATTTCCGGTTTCACTTACCCTAGCCCAGTCCATGTGTTACATTGCCTCTGTGCTATATTCAGGACTGCTGCTAAGAAAGGCCCTCCTGTACATGTGCACTTGGGCAGCTCAGGTCCCCAACGTCCACACGAGGCCAGGAACTCAGTGCAAGAGGCGCTGCATGGAGGGTGAGAGACCCTGGGAGCCGCTTGAGGTGGCTTAGGTCTACAGCTGCTGGCACAGGGCAGAGCTCAGTGCAGATGATGCTGCACAGAGGGCCCAGGAACAGACTGAGCCCTGGTGCTGCACAAGGCTGCTCAGGTCTCCAACTCATAACACAAGGTGAAGCACCCACTACACACAGCGGTGCATGTGGCCTTAAACCAGGCCGGCGGCAGCAAACTCAGGTGGCAAGAAAGCCCGGCAGGGAACAGCCTGACCTGAAAAATGGGAGGCAAGCCTCTGGGACTAAAGTAAGTTACCCTAGAGACAGGGTTCCCAGATGGGGAGGGACCCCCAGGGTTGTGAAGAGGCACCACGTGCTCCTGGGTGATGGGGGGGCCTTGGAAGACTTTGGGGTCTCCCTCTTCTTTTTCTTTCCCCTCACCTCTTTTCCTGTAGTGGTACCTTGGGAGTGGGGCCCCTGCCCTGGAGGGCACCCAGGTAGTCTAAGAATTGCTTGTTATATTTGTAGACTGTGCCTTATAGTTTAAGTGAATAAGTTAAAGTAATAGTTTGTATATTTATACAGTTAAAAGGTTTCCTGATCAATATCCTTTGTTCTGGGTTGTTTTATTGTTTACCTGTATTTTTAAATAATAATTGGGTGTGATGTGAGAGATATATATGGTATAGGGTTTATTGTTTTGTAAATCTGTACATATAGTCTATGTCCTTATCCTTTAATGGTTTTGTTGTAATAATAAGTTTGTATATAGTTAAGTAATTAATTGACTAGGCCTAACTCTATACGGGACGAAGGAGGTCACGGGCTGCTGTGTCCCTCCATAGCACCCTCCCCTGCCAATAATTCCCTCAATTGGAGAGAGGCGTACAAACCCATGTACGCCCAGGCTACACAAATAAAAGCCTTTCTGTGAATTCTGAACAGGACACTGGAGTGAACACAGTTATATGAAGACAGCTACTCTGGGGGACTATTGCCTAGCCAAAGTTCAGCTTGACACCAACAATCAAGTTACAGAAGAATCTAAAGAATGCACCTTTTCACCAGAAAAAGGTTTCTTGTAACAGATGCCAGTGCCTTTTACTAAATGAGCAGTGCTTTAAATAAAAAACGGTTCAGACTTTTTTCTAGCAAATCTACTTACAGCACGACGTTTTGCCATTTGACTGTAACCTTGGATGACCTTAGCAGATAAGTGGGGGGATGTGGTGGTGTTTTTTTGCCTGATACCCAGACGATACCCTAAGAATGGAAAAAAGTGACCTCTTTGTTATCAAAATAATCGTGCAGTTTTACAATGCTTCTTCATAGCTACAGCCTGCTATTTTTAGAGCTAAATTCTCATATCTCCCGAACCAGTAGACACCAGGACAAAGTGATAGCGTCTATGTGGAGGCCAGATGCAACGAGAACTATGTATGCATCTTTCACCTGACCCATTTCAGATTCAGGGTGGTGCCAGCAATTCTGTTACAGAAAGAAACTGTTGTTTTGAGAAGCTGTTTTGGAGCACCTTGCAACATAGGCTGCCTCAGTCTTGGAAGACAGACAGTGAACAAAGGCAATGATGCAGTGAAGAAAGAAAAAAAGTGAATGAAATGATCAGGCAAAGAGGAAAATGTATTGCATAGCATGGAAACATGCACTAAAAATTAGAATGTTCTAGCTTTCATGGTGTTACTTCTCCACACATCCTCTGCCCACAGCTAGTGCAAAAGAGAAATGTAACAAGTCTGCGCTCCTCTGGTGATAGAACAATGTTGACTCCCTTTGCAAAAAGAGAGATCAGTGTGAAGAAGCTGCCTCTGACAGTGCAGAATTCAGTTTGTGAGAACTCCCTGGAAGGGGGCTCTCAAAGAGTGGCATGAAAAGAGCACAGATTAATTTAATTAGCCATTATGACATGCCTCCATAGCCTGAGTGAAATATCACCTCTCTTCTTCAGCCCAGCAGGTGACTGAGATACAAAAGCCATGCTCTGGACCACATCTGCCTTAAACGACCAATTCTTCCCTAAACCAAGTCCACAGAAGAAATTCCTGCCCAGAAAGCATTCCATCTTTTAACTCCTCTGTGAAATATGAATCATCATAACCAGAAGGAAATATGACTCTACATCCTGCTTGCCATCAAAGGACTTAGAGGTAAACAGACTATTCCAACTTTTCTCTGAGCCTAATCTGCATAAAATGAACTGTTCCAAACAGGAGATTTTACCATACCTTCAAGTATCCTATGAAATATGGACTTTCATTTCTGCCTAGGAGAACTTTTACAATATTTTCTCCTATTGCTGAAGAAGGGTTCCTGTGCCCAAAACCTTGCAAATAAAGATTTTTTTTTTTTTTT